TCGTTGATAGGTCGCTAGTGAGTTGTTCACTGCAAAGCGAGCGATTGGTAACAACTAAGTAACGCTAGAGCAACGACTGACTAACGATTGTCGAACGTTAGCAAAACGATCGAAGAACGTTATTTAATGTTTAACAGCGTTTAAAAATAAACGTTGAAGAACGCTGGTCTCAAATGAGAACTTTTGTGCATGTTCAAAACTTTTTTTTTTGGATCAGCGTTCTCCGACGATTACCGACGTTCACTAGCGTTCTAACGGCGCTCTTCTGCGCTGTCCCAGCGACTTTGGGCGACTACCAACGTTTCCTCAAACGCCAGAGAAGGCTAGCCAGAACGTCATGGTGTGACTGCGCCTTTAGCGATAATTAGTCATAACTTTACTTTACATATAGGTGTGACACTTCTCAGAGTAAATTCTTTCTTGAGAACAATAATATCAACACAAATAACAAGCATGGTAATGAAAAAATGTCATTTATGTGTTAACAATCTCAACATCTACATTTTACACGGACTTACAATCTTGCACGTGTACACGTGTGATGTAACGATCACTTGCCCACGAATCATACTCATGTCGAACACGTGTTATGTAGCGATTAATGAACCATAAACCATACTTATTTTGAATACGTGTAATGTAGCGATTAATGAATCATAAACCATACTTATGTTCGACACGTTTAATGTAGCGATTACTGAACAATAAACCATACTTATGTCAAACACGTGTAATTTAGCGATTACAGGAACATAAACCATACTTATTTTGAATACGTGTAATGTAATGACTACTGAAAATAAACCTTACTTGTGTTCGACACGTTTAATGTAGCGATTACTGAACAATAAACCATACTTATGTCAAACACGTGTAATGTAGCGATTACAGGAACATAAACTATGTTTATGTTGAACACGTTTAATGTAATGACTACTGAACATAAACTATACTCGTGTTGAACACGTGTAAAAAACTCGCAGTACTATACATGAACTATATATCATTGCATGATTTATTAAAAACATGAATGACAAATATAAAAAAACAAGATTGATTTATATTAGTCTAGTTATTTTGCAAGTATAGTATATTATCCATGACTGTAATTTTGCGATGAACATTAAAATAGAAACCCCCAAATGCATTATACTGTTTGTTTGATTATATGAATTTAGGCTTATAATATTTACAGCAAAATCACCTACCAACACAAACCTTTTTTTTTGTATACGTCACTGTTCATATGGAATGAAAAATAGCATATAAGATGAAAGAAATACTATAATAAAATTGTTGTTTTTGGACTAATGACTTTGAAAACAAAAATATTAACTTTGGATAACAAACTGAATGCCCGAGCCTAGCCAATATGTAATGCCAATGTGTATCCTCGGGGGCGGAGCTACGTCACGGACGTTCTACGTTGCTAAGACGCGCATCACTGTACCACGTATTTCTATGGGCTTTGTGCGCGCTGCTGTGGAACGCCGGTGAAAACTCGAGAAAACAACACAAACTCAACTTTGAAGTAATCCTGAACAACCAAATTCATATATGTTACACACGTAGGGCTAATCTTATTACACTGTTCAGGGGACTCTCAACCATCACAAAGTACCGTTTTCTGCGAGTTTTTGGTCTTTGTTTTCACCGCGAGGGTTGCCAGGCGGTAGAAAATGCCCGGATGTCCGCCCCCGAGGATTGGTTAATATAATGACAAAGACTGTGCAATACGCTATTGTTCATGAGCCTGTGCGGTTTTAGCGTGTTTTGTATCTGGATACGACCTACTGTAAAGTACTATATTTTTACCTGAAATTCATTAGGAATCTATCAGCGAAATTAAAATCCAGTAAAATACATTCAACTAATCAAAAATCAGTTAAAATAAACTTCATGCAATACAGTCAAAATGTCTTTTCATTGAAAATACATTTTAGTTAAAAAAAAAAGCATTTTACAATATCAAAACTATTAAAATGTCTTCTTTCTAAGGCATTCACGAACAACTAATATAGTGTACTAGATATTAAATTTGTAAAATTAAAATATTGAGACAATTACAGATATTATTAAGATTTAGCCATGTTGGCACTTTTTACAAAATAACCCCACATTTTTTTAGGCATAATGGTAGTAAAATCAAGCACATTTGGTCTAAAATTGTCCAACAAATTATATAAAAATAAAAACGTTCAACAATTTTGCATTAAAATTTTGGCGGGAAAAATGATGGTATTATAGAATACAATGATTCTGCCACACTGATAACAATTCTTATCACAGTTTTTTCAGTGCTTGTAGCAAGTATCATAAGTTTGATTTGTCATAAATACGATGTAGCATATTTCTTTTTTTCATTTGTGCAGTGAGTGTGCCGATAGTTCGGGTTTATACGTAAATTTAATGAACTTGTAAACGAAACGTCAATATTTGATTTCATACTCATTTGCACATGCAAAGTCATGTCTCAATCAACTTTGACCCGTTCGTGTTCTGCCATTTCGATAATAGCGAGGTCATCTTCATAGATTGCGTCTTTCCTGAACTGCGAAGTGATTTCCTCAAATGTCCTATTTTTCGTTTCTGGTACCATGAAGTAATGGAACCACACAGCCAACAGTTGAAACACCATGAATATCGTGAAGACGTATTCTCCAAGAGTTTTCTGAAATACAATAGCGTTTGTTTTAAAGCGGGGAGTCGTCGTCTACGCATGCGTCACATGGGCCATAGCGTGTCATTGTTTAATAACAGGCACCCATGAGCCTGTGCGGTTTTAGCGTGTTTTGTTATCATCGCTTGGGACTCAATTCCCACGCATGCGCAGGTGACGACCCTCCCGCTTTAAATGACGTTGCCAAGAATGACGTAATGTGATTAATTAATGTCGATTTGGAAAAATTTAAATAGCGACAGACGTATTTATACTGTCGTCACAACAAACCCAATCCTTTCATTTGTTTATATAAATTTCAAAACTGAGAGAGGTTTCTATTGGCTGATGGAATAACATTTCGCGAGACGCTGATTGATTGTCTGATTGGATTTAACTGCCATTGAATTTTATAAATATTTATACAAATCAAGAAAATAGGTTTGCGGTTGCCATACTATAGGAAAACTTTAAGTTGGTTAGAAAGTACGTTATATTGTCAGCTCACCTGAAACACTGGGAAGAAAAAGTTGACGACGAAGTTGGACCACCAGTTGACTTGAAGCGAGAAACTCATGGCAGCGGGCCTGGGTCCCTGTGACCATAATTCAGCCACCAGAACAAAAGGTATAGGCCCTTGACAAAAAAATATTCAAATTATGGTGCATTAGAAAAATTATATAATTTGGCCAATGGTTTCTGACAGTATTGAATGATTTAATTTTATTACTGCGAGGTAAGGTATTATTATTTTTTTTTTTTCAAATTCGTACACGGTAACTTTACACCGTCACCTTCAGAATGGTACAACAAAATGGCAGATTCGATATTGTACTCCGAAAAAGTGATCATTTTACATTGCGCCTGGAAAATTTATATTCATTCTTAGCTTAGGTAAAGTATGTATTTCAACCATCCAGATTATATATTCATCGTGAGCATTGTAATGACGTAATGGGGTTTATTGCCCCTTACCTGGTCCTATAGCAAAACTAATTATATATCCGTATACAGAGCACAGGGCCAAATAATCCCAAACATCGTCTTCATAAGGATTCTGAAATAAAAAATATGTAAATACATTGAGTACACCATTGATCGGTAACTGTCGTCTGCGCAATCTTGCGTACGATAATCATAACTATTTATTATTATTTATTTATTATTACTTTTGGTACCATTCCTATACTTTAGTATAGCAGTCCGCGACAACTAAACTATATGTGATACTATTTTGGTATCATTCCTATAGTGAAGTATAACAGCTCCCGACAAGTAAATTATACGTGCTACTATTTTGGTACCATCCTTATAGTGAAGTATAACAGTTCCCGACAAGTAAATTATACGTGCTACTATTTTGGTACCATCCTTATAGTGAAGTATAACAGCTCCCGACAAGTAAATTATACGTGCTACTATTTTGGTACCATCCTTATAGTGAAGTATAACAGTTCCCGACAAGTAAATTAGACGTGCTACGATTTTGGTACTAATCCTCTGTCCTTGCATTTGATTTGGAACACACGTTCTAATTATTGTATTCTCACGCCCAGTGTTATTTTACAATCCATCCTTCTCCAATCATGTTGCAAGTAATGTTTACTACTTATCTATTGATGGCCAGGATTGTCGAGTGCAGTTAATGTCCGCTGTCTCATTAGCGGTTAATGTCCGCTGTCTCATTAGCAGTTAATGTCCGCTGTCTCATTAGCGGTTAATGTCCGCTGTCTCATTAGCGGTATTCAATGGCGTTTATTGGCACCTCCGATGCCGCTCGCTATTGTCAA